CCCATGATTAATTTTTGTGTAGACAACATGACAAAATATGTTTTTTACTTGAATTTTTGCGATTATGACAGAAATAATTCACACCAAAATCTTGTTAAGATATTTTAAAAAGCATAAACGTGTTCTATCTACAATTATATCAGCCTCTCCAAAATATCGCAATAAATATCGTACCGTGAGATGCATATCGTGATAACATCATGCCGAGAGGTTTGGATATCGTTACATCCCTAGTAATGTAGCATGAAGAACTGAAAACATAAACTGCACAATGTCTAGGGAACTAATATTGAAAAATGATGTAATAAACAAGAGAATAATCCTTTATATAATGGTGTATATACTGTATTGTCTCATATATGAATTGAATTAATTGTTTGTGGAATGCGATATCACACTCCCACGTACATTCTGACATTGTTTATATTCCTAAATTGGATTTTATAGAAATATTCAAAAACAAAAACCCACAAATGTTAACCCAGATCTCTCAATAGTCCTGTGTTTTATTGCTTCATTTATCCAGCCACACTACATCACAACAGATTAGTGTACAATCGCACTTTGAACCGCCGTTATATAACCCACGCAGTTGTAATGTATTAGTAGTTACATATTTTCTGTTTATGGACGCTGCTTCCTGCCACCCTGCTGTGTACCGTGGGCCTCTGATTTCGATGTGAACTGACACGCCAGAAAGGTCATACTATCATGTCCAATGTCAGCATGTCTACGCTAACCCAGACCAGAACGAACACACAATCTTACATTCTCAAATATATACTCTCTCTACCTATGAGTTACTACTTAATCTAAAGCACACATTACTCAACTTAAATGTTCTATTAAATATTTATTCTTCTGCCTTGGCCTCTCTCCAGGTCGACCCTTTCGCGGACGACTAACTCACCCAATTTTTCTTATAGATGTGGTGAAAGCGAAATGATGGTGTCTACAAATTAAGCCAGTCTGCAAAATGTATGGGGGATGCGTCTGCTTAGCCTTGAATATTCCACAATGTGACTTTAAAGATCCTATTTTACACAGACTCGACTTTTGTGAGCTTTGAGATGTGTTATAATGTTGTCACCTCATCAAAAACAGACCTGAAGTTGTGTTTTGTTTCATTCATACATGTTTGAAATTAAATAAACATTGAACAATTGCAAGATACGTAAGTTTAATGCCATATTTTGGAACATTCCAGGCACAGCAATGACATATCCAAGGAAATGAGCAGAAATGTTACTCAGTGCACCTTTACATATGTGGTATAAGAGCATTCGACTCATTTTAAATTGACTTAAATAACCTACATCTAATACAATTCAAAGGTCCTGTATTATGCAAAACTGATTTCTGAGCATTTAGCCTTGTTATAATCTTGTTACCTCCTCAAAAATATACCCAAAGTTGTGTTTTGTTCGCCTGATTCATCAGCCGCTTTCACTTCGTAGAAACCGTCTGACCTCGCAGAATTAGGATTTGTTCGTTCGACAGTAGGCGGGTGCTTTTTTATTTAACCAATCGCTGCTATTTGGTCGTGACGTATGTAATGTGCCAAATCCCATAGGAAGAAGTGCAATAACGTCTTTCCCCTTGAAAAAATTCAGCAAACATTCTCTTTATTCCGGCTTTAAATCCTCGATCTTGGGAATCCGTGCCAACACAGAACGTACGGCTTCGTCTACATTCATCTCGACCGTTTTGTTTACTGTTGTGCTGTTCCACAAAAGGGATCGAGACAGGCGCTTGAGTTTGACATCATGGCTTCACAGCTCTTCATTGATTGGCCGGAGCACTGTCTACAACTTCTGGGGATCTTGCAATATGGACTAGTGTATTCTGATTCCTAACCTAGTCGCTGGAGAGAAATTAAATGAGAGGAGACATTAGGTGGTACTAGGAGTAATCCTTTAATATTACCGTGCCTGTATCTCCAATGCTGAAAATGGTCTGTTCCACCTTGTAATGTCATGAAGTGGTCAAAAGCTACCGTTTAACTTTTACTCCAGAGCTGAACTCATTCATGTGATTCTAATAGGGATGTAACAATAACTGAAATGTCGTGATATCATATCGTCCAAAGTCTCACAATAATGTCGTGAGCTGTCACAATATATTGAATCACAAGGTCCTTTGCTTAAATGCATGGTTTTATAGTAGCAACAGCTTATGAACATCAGGAACTACATATCCCATGATTCATTTTAGTGCAGACAACATGAAGAAATATGTTTTTTACTTGAATTCTTGAGATTATGGCAATAATAATTCACACTGAATTCTTTTCAGGATATTTTAAAAGCAAAAAAGTGTCCCATCTACCTATACAATTATATCAGCGTCTCCAAAATATCACACTAAATATTGTACCATGAGATGAATATTGTGATAATATTGTATTAGAGATCTGGATATCATTACACCCCTAGATTCTAGTGAAGGTGTATGAAGTTTAAAAACATAATGGAGCAGAGTTTTTTCAGTCTGAGAGAAGAACTAAATATGCAGGATTTGTGTATTAAACATGTGTGAATGAAACAAAACACAACTCCAGGTCTATTTTTGAGGAGGAAACAGGATTATAACAGATCAGAAAATAGCATCATGGGGCCCTTTAACTAATCACCATATAGAAAACATCTACTAGTCATTTACTGTAAGTAGGTACCACAGGATACTACTTAATCTAATCTATATAAACGCTTTAATTATGACAAGGATACAGTAAAAACAAAGAGAAAAACATTCACATCTTACATTCTGAACTCCAGCGATTGTGCAAATTCAGTCCAAGTTCAGATGCCCGACCTGGTTTCTACTCCAGCCTGTTTTACCATCACCTGGAGCGATACGGCACGGGACAACAGCGCTGAGGCATCATGGGATACTGCCAGCCTCACCTAATGTTACCACAGGGCATAATGAATAACTTTAGACTTGTATTTTATTATTTATACCTTAACATAATGTATAGAAAATGCACTTTCAGCACACATTCCCCTATTTGCCACATTAAAGGGCCCATATTACGCTGTTTTCTGATCTTTTATCATGTTGTTTCCTCTTCACAAACAGACCTGGAGTTGTGTTTTGTTTCATTCACACCTGTTTAGCACACAAATGTTCTCTCAAAAGGTAAATGATAGATGTTAACTTGAAAATACAAGGTGGAACAGAGCATTTTGAGATTTTGAAATATAGGCAAACTAATAACACAGTTCTAACATGTCTTAAAACCTCACAGGAATCCATTTTGCGTAATATACACTACAGAAAACAAAATCTAGTCAAGTTAAGATGACTTGAATTAAGAAAGTTTTATCACGATTTGAGTAAATTTCACTTGAGGAAGTAAAATGATCTGCCAGTGGAATAAGACTTTTTGTATTTAAAATATGAAAATACATCTTGCTACACTTAAAATATGAAAAACAGCAACTTTCTGCGCTTAAAATAAGAAACAAAATCAAAAGTTGCATGAATTAAGAAAAACACACTTATTCCATTGGTAGAAAATTTTACTTCTCAAGTTGAATTGACTCAAATAAAGTCAAATGTTTTTAATTTAAGTCATTTTAACTTACCTAGATATTGTTTTTTTTTTTTTCAATATAGGACCTTTAATGCGTGGATATTTTCAACATGACACTAATGTAGATCTGTTCATGAAAGGTGCACTGCGTAACTTTTCTACTGGATGATCCGTCACTTGTTTGAGATGTTAACGCTTTGCCACAAATTTCCCACACGTCATTTATCTCCACGGAAACCAGGTGCTTCTTTAGCTCTTTAGAAAGGCAAGTTCGCGTAAGTATTTTTACACAAACATCTAAACACCTATCGATTTCAATTCAATTCCATTTTTTTCCCCAAAAAATGTTAAATTATAATCCCACAAAGGCAAAGATTTATACATATGTAAATATATTCATACATATATAGTTTGTATGCCCTTCTGTGATTGATTTAGTGGCTTGACAGGTTCAATTTTTGGTTAAAGTAACAACAGGCAAGACATGAAATCAATAATAATAATCATAATATTAAAAGCAAAAGGAAAAAAAAAAACTATATTTGAATAAACGCAACATAATTCAGTAATCTGAAACATCTGGGACACACACAAGCACCGGAAAAGTTATAGAGCCTATAGCCCCATTAATTATGAAAGATAAACTAAAAATATATATAATAAAACTATGGCTACTCATTTATGTATGTGGTTTTATGTTAAATGTTATATCGTGCGATTTGTTGTGTTGTTTTAAATAACTCCAGCTACCAAAATGCAGTATTAAAGACAGAGATATACAAAAAGGTAAATGTGTTTTGATTACTCTAGCACTATAGTATTCATTGTGCTCAGAAAATGTCAACAATTACGGGCCTTAGATTAGACAATATCAGTAAATCCCAATAAGAACACTTGCGGTCCTGTCTCTTCCTTTTAGTATTTTTTGGGGATGAGGGATTTTGAGTGCTCCTATTATCGTAAACAAAGCTGAAAATCAAACAAACTTATAATTAACATGAGCCAAAAGATGTTCCAAATATTTGTTTCCAGTACTGTTTTCCATTATTTAGTCTATTGATAGCAAGACATCCATTCTAACTTCCCAGGGGAGCTATAACGTGTGAGGAAGAGGGGAACTTCAAACATTTTATGAATCAAACCCACTGTAAAGCCATTAACACGCACTAGCAGGCACATAACAGGTCTGCGGAGCACTTTTGAATGGATTTTTTGGCGTTATTCTCACTGTTGAGTCAATATGAGACTCACTAATTCTCCTAAATTGCTTTGTCATCAGTGTGTCATAGAACCGGGGACATTTTTGGCACAGCTCGGTGACGGAAAGGGCGCACTTCGCGTAATATGTGGTGTAATTACGCACGGGAGCAGAGCCTGAGCAGAGAGCGCCTATGGGCCGGCACCAGCGGCGGTGGGGTGAGACAGGGCTCGGGGCAGTCAGTCAGTCAGACGGAGCACGTACCTTCCAGACAGCAGGTTCGCCAGAGGCCGGAGTGCGTCATCACCTCCTCGTTCTTGCGGCTCGTGTCGTTGTCCCCGCTGCTCTTCACGCGGCAGACCCCTCGCGAGTACAGCCAGTAGTCCGTGCCCACCGCGATGGTCATGAGGCTGAAGGCGGCGAACGCGCCCACCGTCGTCACGAGCATCTGGACGCCGCGGTCACACATCAGCATCTTCATAAAGGCGGCTCCGGTTGGGCTTAATCTGAGTCCCTCCTCTCGTTAAGATTCACCGTTTAATTTCCACGCTTTTCCCGCGAGATTTGGACAAGTCACACTCGGGTTTCAGCGACAGACACTCCAAGATTTCATACACAGCACAACAACGTGTAATTGGGATGTGTGAGCGTGGCGCATACATAAAACAGTTGGTTGGCTTCTTAGTGTCGGGCAGAGGCTCGTGGCAAAGGGCGGGAAGGCGGGGGGCAGCACGTCACTTTCTCGTGCATCAAAAACCGGTTTTTAGCACAGCACTCACGCGCACACGCACATATCCAGGACGATTAACGACCACCGGTTGTCCCCGCTTAAACCGAGCAGTCCTTGCGTCTCAGAGCGGTGCCATGCTCCGCTATTCCTCTGCTAATTCCGTTTATGTGAGGCGAGCGAGCTGCCCATCACACGCACCTCATGTTCTGCTCTCGCTCCTCGCCGTGTTTCCGCTGTGCAGCCCCCTCTTCTGAACTTGTGCAGCTCTCGTGTTAACCTCTGTGAGCAGCTCTGCATGAAAATCTGTTTAACATATAATGAAGGGTTTGTTTGTCTCACAGCCCGTGTCACAGCGCAGTCCCGAGCATAAGGCGGGTCGCCTCTGACTCACCGCCGACAGCACAGCTTCTGCCGACGACCTCTCCTCGAAAACACAGAAAATGTTCCTGTGTTTGTAGTCAGTGAAGCAAAGACCGTCCAAGGCAGCAGCGGAGCGCGCAGGCGAGCAGAGGTCCGTCGTGTGTCCCTGCACACAGCTGTTGCCTGACTTGCCTCTGTGACATGTTCTCCATAGAACAGCCTAAGAAAACAAGTCTTCAAACGGATATTTCGAGTCGAAAAGGCAAAAAGCTACAATGATAATTCAACACAATCACAGAATTTAGTCCAAACTAATATTTGTACTTCAAAAAAGCCACGTTTTTCCAATCAAAATAAATGTATCCGTGAGCAGCTGGAGCTGGAGGACCGTCAGCCAAGCGCGCCTGGCACTGCGCTCCTCAAACGTGCCGTTTGTACAAATGAAAAAATGACAGCCGCCTCTTCCTCCTCCTCTAGGTCTTCCTCCTCCTTCTTTCGATCCAACCAACACAAACTAAAACTAACCGCGCGTCTCCTGCAGCTCCGCCCGGGGCAGAGGCGCTTTACGCGGATTGGACTCGGGTGTGATGGAGTCCTGAAGTGGCCAATAGCGCAGCGCAATGTCCCTGAGTCCCGCCTTCAGCCGCATCGCCGTCAGTATAAAATGGGTAGGCTATTGCACTGGGGCTATTCAGGATCCAGTGGTGTCCAGATGTTAGAAATGTGAATTACACTCGTGCGTTTCCATGGTGATACCCATTGGTAAATAAATGAATATGATATGCTGGCCTACTCCCAAAGTAATGTGGGCTGTCTGTCTAATGTTCACAAATGAACTGTAACTGTCTCTACTGTGGAGCACACGTCCTGTGTCCAGCGGGCCGGAGCCTGCGCTGCGGCGCTGTCCATGGTGCTGATCATTTCTCTGTTTTTTCTGCTCCGCGGTTGCAGCCCTGCGCCGCACTGATTAGTGAGAAGACACGGTGAGGCAGATAGCGGCGGATAGCGGAGGATAGAGGGAAGAGAGGGGAGAGCCATGCATGAAGAATCGCGCCCCGGAGAGAAGCAGAGACGCCACTTAAAGAGCCACGGACCGTTTTAATGATTCCACTCCACTGAGGCCCCCACACAAGGCTATATGAGCTCATGGTTCACTGAACGCAGTAGACTGAGAGTGCACGTACCCGCGTGCGTGTGCTGAGACGTTTGTGCTCACGTGACTTGTGCTGGTGAGGCTGCAATTTCCAATTACACAAGTTTACGCCAGTAGATTTGTATCGGTGTTTAGATGTGTTGAGTCCACAAAAACAAATAGCCTGTTCCATATAAAACTGCAGATCATGTCTGTGAATTTCATCTGCCGTGTTTATACAATCACATGTTTAAGTCCCTCTATAGGCTCCCGCTCCAACAAGTAGTTCTGGGTGACCCACTGAGTCAATGCCTGTTTATCTAATGGCGCCTGTTGGACTAAAGTGCAAATAAAACAAGACGTTAAGGCGATCGGAGACGGAGAGAGGCGGATAAATAAATGCACGCACACATCAGCCCAGTGTGAGCCATGACAGGTGGAGTGTGTATGTGTGTGTCTGTGTGTGTGTGTGTGTGTGTGTGTGTGTGTATGTGTGTGTGAGTGTGGATGTTATTGCCTTATCGCACAAGGAGACTCATTAACATAGAAATGACTTGAGGAAGAAAAGTGGAGCGTTTCACCTCTGCTCACTGCCAGGAGCCAAGAGGGGCGGAGCAGAGGGAGGAGGAGAGGGACTGACAGAAGAGCAACAAGCCCACATGTAAACTCCATAAGCTCTTCAAAACAGGAGAGAGTTTGTCATCAGTTTTTGAAGTTTGTTTGATTTTGCACTATGTAACTTTTTGGTAGCTGCTTGTCTCCATGGAGTTGTTATTGCTTTGGCTAGAAATGTTCCAAAATATACTGTTAAACTCCTTCTGTAAGTAGAAACACTTTTTTCTACATGTTTGACCTATTCATGGATTTCAGTCATGTGATTCGTTTGTTGTTGTCGCCCATCTTGAGGACGTCATTGTACATTGTAGTGTACCTTTGCAGTTGGAAATTCATGATGCTACATAAAAGAACAGCAAATCTCACCGAAGAGAGAGGAAGTTTTGGGTTTTGATCCTTACCCACTGCCTGGCGAGTCATTGACACCACTTAAAAGCAGAGAAAGCTTATAAAAACTAACTTTTGTTGGGGGAAATGAGGATGTCTGGTCACACTAAAGGCTGCCAAACACTTCAGTGATTTTTAAACAAAAAGTGCACACCACAGACACAAGGAGAATCTTATGAGACTTAAAATCTCTGATCGCAAAGACTGCAGTGGGATCTGTCTGCTGACCACAGGATATAAAGTTGTGAGTGCGATCGTGTCAGCTGTTTCCTGTCTACAGTAAAACCACTCACTCTGAGACTCTTAAGTGTTCAAAAGATCAGAGCAAACTAGAAGTGTATCTAATTTCATATTCACTAATCTGCAGCTTCACGTCAATCCGTGCAGTGTGTGGGTGTAAACAGACACACCTGAGGAACTACTCTCGTCTTTTTTCTTTCAAAGAACGCTTCAAACTGGATTAAGAGTGCTGTTTTGTGGACTGGATGTCATTATTTCCAGAGGGCAGTTTCTATGGACAATGTGGATGAGATGCTGCAGTTTAAATTTACCACTTTACGAGAGGTGAGTAATAAAGTCTTCTCATTATTTTCACTACACCTGAGTTTGTATTTGCATCTCTGTGTCCGTCACTCCGTTTGTCCCTGATGCTCTGTTTTATTGGCTGTTACAGTAGTGTTGCTGATGTTTAGTGGTTACAATCTGACAAAGCAGCTCAGAGTCACACTGACACCACACACACGAGGAGAGCAGCGGCTTCAGAATCACACGTGAAGACACAAAGTTGGGTCAAGCCTCCCAGAACTTGAGGAGAAGCAAATCGCAGCCAAAATGGGGCAAATTCTTTTGTAGTGTGTGGCGGCCTTAAGACTTAATATTCCAGTTCCTTTGGTTTAGACGAGCCTTGCCTATTTTAGGTCATGGTCAATTTAAAGGTTTATTTATATAGCACATTTAAAAACAGACAGTGCTGCCCCAAAGTGCTCAAAAATATAGATACAATGGAGTATGAGCATAAACATACGAATAAAACACAATAAAACAAGATTAAGAACACAGATAAAACCATGGAAAATCAACTTGAGTTAAATGCCAGTGGAAAAAGGTAAGTGAAGGTAAATCTAATTCACAAACCAAATGTCACACAACATTATTTAATCAGAAAACAGACACAAGTGCGCTGTGTTTCAGGGTTTTGTCATAACCAAATTACCTGTAATAAAATATCTCTCGGTATGATATTTATTGTGATATTTTGAAGAGGCTGATATAATTGTACATAGGACACATTTTTTGGTTTTAAAATACCTTGACAAGATTTTGGTGTGAATTATTTCCGTCATAATTCCAAGAATTCAAGTCAAAAACATATTTCTTCTTGTTGTCTGCACTGAAATGAATCATGGGATATGTAGTTTCCGATATTTATAAGCTATTTCTACTATAAAACCATGCATTTAAGCAAAGAAACTTGTGACTTCGATATATTGTGAGACTTTTGACGATACGATATCACAATATTTTGGTTATTGTTACATCCCTGATAAAATAGTTAGGCCATTATTTGTATTTGGACGCTTATAATGCTGCCTGACACGGACACTACGCTGTAATCGGTAAACACTAATGCTAGAAACTTGTCAACACATTAACTTTAAACAAAACTGAAACAAAGTCTTCACTGCAGTTGTGAATTTCTGGAGCCCTCTGATCCTTTCTGATGGCATTAATCCATTTCTTTTTATGAACAGATTCTTTGGGGATGTCATAGATAATAGATTAATAGAATAAGCAGAAAAGTCACATTATGTACTTTTAACAGGAACAGCTGAAGTTAATATTGCAGATTTTTGTTGTAATATTGTGAGTTCCAGTCAGTTTAAATCATCAGGTTCAACATTTGTAAATTAGCCCTTTAGATATTCCCTATGAGAATACAGAGTAATCAATACAGAAATCTGACTACTGCCCCAGTCTGACATCACCCATCGATTCTGAAAAGCACCAATATGTTGAGTCATTACAAAACTATACTATATTATATTATACTATACTATCTTTATTATACTTTTTTCGCTTATAGTTAGTCCAAAATTCATCAAGATTCACCTTTTAATGCTTATAGTTAGTCCAAAATTTACCAAAAATTCGCCTTTTAATGCTTATAGTTAGTCCAGAATTCACAAAAATTCGCCTTTTAATACTTATAGTTAGTCCAAAATTCATCAAGATTCACCTTTTAAAGCTTATAGTTGGT